CGGCGAGGACGCTCCTCCGCCCCGGCTGCCTTCTGCCCGCCAGGCAGGTTCACTCGTGCCTCGCAAGAATCACTCAGCAGTTGGCTTAATTAAATTGCAACTCATCAAATTCCCTCCAGACCAGCCGTTGCCCAAACGGGAAGAGAGCTGGCAGGAGCGCCGGGGCCATCGCTGGCTTCAGGGCTGCTGCTAACTTGTTATTAAATGAAACAGCCTAGATGGCGGATTAATTTCCTGCGCTCAATATTTATTATGCCCTGAACTGGGAGCCCGGGGGCTGCTCTGGTTGAAGGGAGGAAGGGCTGCTTCACTGTCGTGAGGGTCGTTGCATGCTCTGCGTAAATGAAATTTAGAGGCGTCCTGGGGCAGCTGAGCTCTGCATGCGCCCTGCGGCCCGTCCTTTCTCCCAGGGCGGGAAACCGCTGCTGGAAGAATCTGGGCAAACAGCAGGAAGTCATCAAATAAGCGGAAAGGTGGCCCCTTGCTCTCGCAGCAGGATGGAGACCTCCTGGGCTGGCTATGCGCCAAGGGTGCTGCGGACGACGATGCTGGCCGGGAGGAAGGTCTCTTCACTGCTGTTAAACGCAAGGATGGACAAACAGCCTCCGGCTCCGGAGGTCCCGGCTTGGGGGAAGGTTTTGCTCTGTATGGGAACCGGGAGAGCTCCCCGGGCGTTGGGGCACCTCGGCTTGGGGAAATTTGGGGATCTGTAAGCAGTGCCCTTCGCTAGCCTCACTGGAGTTTGCAAGGCTGAACTGAACCGTGTGAGCACGCGTGGCCCTGGGGTTATCTGTGTCGTCAGGTGGTCACTGACGTGCTCTTTCCCCTCTTCTTTGCTGTTCCCTCCTTAAAGATCAAGCCCTGCCTCTGGGCTCCATCGCTCCAGCAGCCGCCATCTCATACGCGAGTATCTCCAACTGTCCTTGCAGATTGCTAGGATTAATATGCAGACAGTTAAAGGACACGTCTTCCCCACTCCCCAACCCTTGGGTTTCTCGCGGGCAGGATGTCCTGTGCCGTGACTGGCTCGGTAGCAATCTCCCCCTTGAAGGACCATGGTGAAAACCCTAAGCTGCATCCCCCAAACCTCTATGGCTGCTCCCTGTTCCCAAGTGGCTGAAAGACACCATCCTTTGACTTGTCGGGGATCTTGTGGTTTCCCCATTAATAGTGGAAGGGGGTAAATTTTTCAGGTCTGAGCATGGGAGACTCTGAGGAGCCATTGGGCAGCGCTGCGAGCAGCCTCCCTGGCTACGCTCTGCCGCATGCCGGCCCCGTGCCTGCTGCATTTCTCCTACTCCCTGTTTTGGATAACTTGCCCATCAGCTTGCTTATTTATCGTGCTATAAAAAAGATGGAGAGGGGCAATGAAGTGTCCCCAGGCTGCTGCCAGGCCGAGCCGCGGCCGATCTCGGTGTCCTCCCGTGCACCAGCACTCAGGTTTCGCACAGGCTCACCTGTGCACGTGCCACAGCCCTCGTTTTGGCTCCCGCTCGTTTGTGGTGTTGCTGCTGATGGCAATTCCCAGGGAGGAATTGCCGGCAGGGCCAGGGTAGGAGTCTGGAAGGACATCTCAGCACCACGTGCTCATCGGTTGGTGTGAGCTGCAGCGCGCACCTCCTCTTGTGCATCCCACCGCGCATGTGGCCACAGCGCACACCTCCTCTTGAGCATCCCACCATGCATGTGGCTGGAGCACGCATCTCCTTTTGCGCATCCCGCTGCAGCCACGGCATACATCTCTTGCGCACCCCGCCACGCACGTGGCCACGGCGCACACCTCCTCTTGCACATCCTGCCACACGCATGGCTGCCGAGCGCA